GGGGGGGTGAGATCAGGTACTCATAATAAATAAAGCAGTTTTTCATCTAAAGGGATCTACAAACAGTCCAGTCGTGAAACGCTTAAAAGAACAATAATTAAAAACTGCTTACACAAAAAGTTGTTGTTTCAATACAGAAGGAAAAAGATTAATAGAAAAGATAGCCTCATTCGCATTTCTTTATGATTGTTTTGTGTTTTTTTTAATGTAGAGAAAGTTTTCTGCTGTATGTCCGCAAGACGAAGTGACAAAGATATACCCTACCTCCATTTTTCAAAACCAGATAGCATCCTTCAGACAACACTTGAGGCATTTAGATTCTAAAACAACACAAATCAACGCTGGTTACCCAGTGCAAGACTGCAATCAGCTATTTTTTCACAACAACAGCGTCAACAACAGAAACAACAATAACCACAGCAACAGCAGCAACAACAACAACAACAACAACAACAACAACAACAACAACAACAACAAGAAACACAGACACACAAGTGATGTTCTGTTGACTAAAACAAAGCGAGGCGGCCACGAAAATGACAGTGTCACATTAATAATATTGTCCTGAAAATGACATAACCATACACACACTATGTCCCTGAGGAACGCTCAGCGAACACGGGGTCAGATGGATACACATTACCCAATAGTAGAACTTGAATGTGAACATTGAGATACTGTTAAAGAGGAAGCTAGGAAATGTATACTCAGCAAACAAGGCGTATGTATGTCGCGGTTTAACCCTGGAATCTATCCGTATGTCGTGCTTGTGTCTTTCTTACAGAGGTGTACCAAATGAAGACATTTTGCCAGGCAGCACAAAATGCGGTTGTCAGGATTTGCGTGGGGTAACAACCTGCTGTACCCCCCCCCCCCTCCACACACACCTGCACACACGTACACTCACAAACAGTCTGGACAAGGAATGATTAAATCTCTAACTCACCTGTCGAAGACCCCAGTTTGACACCGCGGGAAAAAAACACTACACGACCAGGCAGATAATTCAGTGCAGACACGCTTTTTTTGCGTTTTTCTTCTTTGTCAGAGGACACTGGTATGTTTGAGATAGCACCCTTGGAATTTCGATGAGCCCCGCCGGACAAAGTCCTTTTAAGTCCTTGGGGGATAGAAGCGAATCACCGAAGGGAGCCGGAGAACGAGATAATCAGGGTGGCCGGACGATGGGTCCCAAGAATACACAGACAGTTGGAAACTTGGCAAAAATGTTTTGGCCGTTCGGCGATCTGAGAAAATAACAACAAAATAAAATAGAAAAGCGTCTTAAAGAGTCTGATTTCGATGTTCTAATATCGAAAAAACCCAGAAACGAAACCAAATAAAATGTAAAACAAAAACAATAGAAAAAACAAACAAAACAAAACAATAAAAGAACAAAACAAAAAATGATTAAAAAACTATAACATTTTATGATCAAACATGGGACTAACAAGAACAAAACTCTTCGGACAAAATGATTCGCAACCCGAAAAATCTGAACTTTTACCTGGAATTAAAACCTGTAGTTTTGAGTTATTTTAGTTTTTGTTTTGTTTCTTTTTATCTCGCTTACAGCGGGTGCTTACAGCGGGTGCTTACAGCGGGTGCTTACAGCGGGTGCTTACAGCGGGTGCTTACAGCGGGTGCTTACAGCCCGAGAAATCTGAACTTTCACCTGGAATTAAAACCTGTAATTTTGTGTTATTGTAGTTTTTGTTTTGTTTTGAGGCATTGTAGTTACTGTTTTGTTTCTGTTTATCTAGCTTACAGCGGGCCTTTTCTAGCATGGCGTGTCCCTGCTTCATCAAGCACAACAGCAGCTTGTCCTATCTCCAGTTACTACCCAAGGCTGAGATCTAGTCTATTAAGAAAATTCATAAATTATGCATGATCACCCATCTGAACCAACTGTTCCGTGTTAGTAACTTGTTTGTGAAGCAAAAGTGGGTGACGTGGTGGGGGGAGGTCGTGCAGGTTTTCACAAGTTATGCAATAGATTACTCAATAAACAACCTTCTTATGGATGGTAGATTGCGCAGGTTTTTGAGTATGGTATCGATTCTGAATATAATTGAGTGTTCACTAAAAACAGTTCGAGTAGTAAACGTTACTACCATGTTGGGTGTCGGTTGGGGGGGGGGGGGGGGGTGTTACAACAATATACAGCTCATTACAGCTTATCAGAGTCAACAGTTGACGCAAGCAGAGTTCCTCAACAAGATGGCCTAAAGAATGCTTCCTGTGAGAATGTAACTATCGCTTTTAACTCCACTTTTATCACGTATTTTATTCAGCGATTTTTAAGAAATGTGCTCTTCAATAGACATTAACTTGCTCTCCTATAGACATTAACTTGCTCTCCTATAGACATTAACTTGCTCTCCTATAGACATTGTATTGTTCTCCTGCTCGGAATCTGTCTTCTACCTCCCCGTGGTGAGCAGGGGGCTACAAGTATCAAGACTGTTTTATCCAGAAAAAATATCAATGAAATATCAGT